CTTTCCCAACTCCATGTATTTTCCCACTGCCTGGGAATATCCTTCTCTATCCCATCTGCCTGTTGAGGTGCTCACTGTCAGTAAAGGAAGACTAGGTAGTTCAGACAACTCCTTCCTCAGGAAATAACAAGGAGATCTGAATGAAATACAGAAATATTGTATTAAATGCATCAAAGACCTAATAAGATGGTGAAAACCGGCTAATCAAAGTGTGGGAGGCGCCAGGCACCTAGAGAGATGAACATCACTTGGGAGAGCTTTCGCCTGGGAGCATGTGCTGACGCAGAAGAGTCGAGATGCTAGGCTGTGCATTTGGCAGCCTCTCAAAAGCTGAGGGGACAAAAGACAGAATCTGGGAGCCTACCAATGGCTGGGATGCTTAAGACTGCATCACAGGCATTTAGATAGCTGGAAGTAAATCAGTCCTTATGTGGTCATCTGTTCAGCCAAGAAAATGTCAAACCTTTAATGTACATCAAGTTTGCTGCCCAAAACTGCTAGCATTCCCAAGGAGTGTGGCAGAAACAAACAAGCAAACAAGCAAATATCTCTCTGGGGGAAGATAACATCATATGAGGTCATAAACATTTCCTTTATTTATTTATTTTTTGAGATGGAGTTAGGCTCTTGTTGCCCAGGCTGAAGTGCAATGGCACCATCCCGGCTCACCACAAACTCCGCCTCCCAGGTTCAAGCGATTCTCCTGACTCAGCCTCCCGAGTAGCTGGGATTACAGGCACGCACCACCATACCCGGCTAATTTGGTATTTTTAGTAGAGACGGAGTTTCTCCATGTCGGTCAGGCTGGCCTCGAACTTCCAACCTAAGGTGGTCCTCCTGCCTTGGCCTCCTGAAGTACTGGGATTACAGGTGTGAACCTCTGTGTCCAGCCAAAAACATTTCTATAAACAGTATTTCAAACACAATGCCCGGCACCCAGTCAAAATAACCAAGTTTCTCCAAAGTGGGGCAAAACCAGAAACTAACATTAGACTTTGATAATACAAGGGTGCATATTATACTTCTAGAGTAGCTTCTTGTGAATAGAAAAGAAGAATATAGTACTTCTTAACTAATAAGGAGGAAAAAATGGAGTAACAATATTAATAATAAACCCAAAAGAAAGGAAGAAAGGAGAAAAAAGGGAAGATAGGCAGGGGGCACAAATTGAAGAGCTAGTCATCATTCAAGGTGCAGCTCCAATGTCTTCTTTTTCCCTAACAATTCCTTATCTTCTCCCCCAATCCAGTGCTCTCTTCATACTTATTTAGATTTCTACTGTAGCATTTATCCCATGGTGCTATCATTAATTGTTCAAGTGTTTACTTTCCCAGTTGTATTTTGCACACCTTGAAAGGAGATGTTCTGCTTATTCATCTTTGTATCTTCAATGCATAGCAGAGGGCTTGGCTCACAATACACATTCAACAAATACACATTGAAGCAAATTTAGTTGAAATGAACTAACTAAAAGAATACTGAGATGTGATGCTGGGAGAGCTGTCTGTGATTGTTCCTGCCTGCAGAGAGGAGCACATGGCTCAGGGAGGGTATCACCCTACTTGTTCCCCATTTAGAGTATTCGTACAAAGTCTTATGACTCAAGTGATACTAGTCCTCTGTAAGAATTAATATACAGGCCAGATGTGGTGGCTCATGCCTGTAATCTCAGCACTTTGGGAGGCCAAGGCAGGCAGATCACCTGAGATCAGGGGTTTGAGACCAGCCTGGCCAACATAGTAAAACCCCATCTCTACTAAAACTTCAAAATTAACTGGGCATGGTAGCACATGCCTGTAATTCCAGCTACTTATGAAGCTGAGGCAGGAGAATTGCCTGAACCTGGAAGGTAGAAGTTGCAGTGAGCTGAGATCTTGTTATTATACTCCAGCCTGGGCAACAAGAGCAAAACTCCATCTCAAAAAAAGAAAAAAAAAAAAGATGTAATATACAAAGAAAATAAGAGATAATTCAGTTTCCTTTTGTATCACACACTATTCAAGTATAAGCCTGGTGATCCCAGAAACCATCATGGTCCCACATGGAGAAAGTCATGTGAAAGTGGGCAGTGCACAAAGCAAAGCAGAGCCAGAGTTGGTGAGAGAGACGGATCCCTGGAAACATTGTGTGAACCCCTGGATTCAGCTATGACTGAACATATATCCACCTTGCTTCCTTGGCTAAGAGCCAATACATTCCCTTTGTTGCTTAAGCTAATTTGATTTGTGTTTCTGTGGCTTGGAACCAAAGGGAGTCCCAATAAATACAAGAGACTTCTATGAGAAAGTCTACATATTGAAGGCTCTTGCACTAACTTGTACTGGGATCAGCAGCAAGGTGTAGATGATCAGAAGACAATGGAACACTGGTAGATTTGACTGTAAGGAACATAAAAACTCCATAACTCTGATTTTCTAACAAACAGTTTAGAATGCATGCATCCAAATATGTATTGATTCTTTCATAGTAGCTACCTTGGGAAACCAAATATGTATTCCAACCATTTGGTAAGGACTAAGTGAAAGGGCAAGAGTTCCTATGGAAAAGGCCCCCAAATTAGAAGGAGTATGAGGTTTCAAGGCAGGTGGAAACATGAATATGGGAAGGGTCAACCCTAGAGAAAGGGGAGCCAGGGCCATCCCACAAAGAGCAGGGAAGTCCAGAACTAGCCAAGCACTAGCAGCCAGCTCATTGTCCAAGGGCTCTTGGAAAGTGGGGCCCTGAGCCTCTGTTTTGAGTCTTGGAGACCTAGCTTTGGTGGGGCCCACCATTCCCTGGCCAGGGCAAGGCCTGATGATGGGTAAGGTGGAGGGGCTAGGATGCCACTTCTCATGAGAAAGCTCTGAGAAGTGCCCAGACACCATGGCCTCATGCTGCTGAGAACATTTAGAGCCCATGGACCAACACATTAAGGTGGATTTGTTTGGTACAAGAAGCATGAGCCCTGGACAGCCTAGAGAACCCTTGAATTTCCTCCCTTCCCTGAAGAAATGAGTAAGGATGCTATAAGTTTCTGTATTATGTTTTCAAAAGCCTCGGTGAAAATTTGCTTCCTTTCTGTGTCCATCTCTTTGACATGTATATACACAATGGCCCTGACAAGAAAAGTCCCTCTCTTATATATGAGCTGCCATTTCTCTCCACCCCATTCCCCGCAAATGATGATACAATATTTATTAAGGCTTAAATAGCACTGTTAAGTGCACATGTTGATTTAGAATGATGGAGTGTGTCAGTGCACAGAACAGGAACTCAGCCACAGACTAGGGACCCACAAAGGACAAGGAGATACATCATTAGCTAAAGACCCAAGCTAGCAAATGTCACCAGCAGAGACAAGTCCTTAATGAGGGCTCTCTTTATGCCTATTCTTAACACCAATTTTTATATTTTCAAAAATAATATAACATTATATATGCATAAGCTTAAAGAAATTTCAACTGCACATACTGGTATGAAGTAAAAAGTAAACCCCTATCTGCTCTCTCCCACACAAGTCCCATAATTCAGAGGGAACTCTCTTAAGCTTGTTTTTTAAACTCTTCTGATAAGTTACCACCATAATTCTAAACAATACGCATAGATTTCAATGTCTTAGCTTGCCAGGATTCGATAATATCAAGTCATTTGCATTATTTAATAGAGGAGGAGTTTAGTTCACTTGCAATATTTTCAATCATCTGTCTTGGTTCTGAGTTTCATTATATGATTGTGTTCAGTTCTTCTATTAGTTGCCTTTTTATTTTTAAATAATATACACAATCCTTATTTTTGTCCCATCTTCTTTACACATTATCTCTTCTCTCATCCCAAAGTCAAATGAAGAAAGTTGCACCTACACTTGCGCCTCCCCCTTCCCCTTCTGTTCACTTGAATTCCTCTAGCTTGAGCATCACCTACGCAGTGTCAATTGTCAGACACTCTTTCTAGTCTATAATTGCCTTCTGTTTTGATTATAAAAATTGAAACTGGCAAGCATTTAGTTATAACTATGTAAATGTGATTATATAATTATTGATCACTATAGAAAGAGGGTGATCAGACCCATTGAAAACGAAATATGATCACATGTTGCTAGCTGACTCTCTCTCGAAGAATGTCCCCAGGAGAAGGTCAAAGGGATTCTCTTTTTCTTACATTCCATCAATTGCTCAAAACCAGGCCACATTTTTGCCGGTTTTATATTTGAACCAAACCTTTCTTCTCTGGTTTTTCCATTTTTTTCTTGGCATTTCAAATTGTGCTGCTTCTTTCCTGAAGAGAAGGGAGGAAAAAAAAGTATATATATATAATATATATATATGAGATTAAAATTAAGGGATAAAATATCATTCCAAGAGATCCAGCATTCAAGTGATGAGAGAAAGAACAGGAGAGAGGAAATGAACACATAAACCGAAGTAGCGTGAGCTTAACAATTCCATTCTTAGTGTTGTTACGGATTTTTCATTTTTAGATGTCTCTACTGTCGTTTCACTGGGATTTTTTGTTCATCTGTCATCTTGCACTAAAGGGTCAATCACCTTAAGGGAAATATTCCTCCTCCCCTAAAGCCATTGTTACCCATAAGATAATGAACAATATTTTGACTTTTATTTTTGTGCTGGAATTTCTGTTGCTACTTGTGGCCAAAGTATACTGTTTTACACTGACAAATCGTGATCCATCTCAACAGAAATTTAAACAGAGCCCAGGTACACGGGTATGTTCTAATTTTCCTCTACAGAGGTTTTGCTTTTGTTGCTGTTTGGTTTTTGGCTTGTCCCCCAGGCTGGAGTACAGTGGTGCAATCTCGACTCACTGCAACCTCCACCTCCTGGGTTCAAGCAATTCTCCTGCCTTAGCCTCCAAAGTAGCTGGGATAACAGGCACCTGCCACCAGGCCTGGCTAATTTTTAGTAGAGATGGGGTTTCACCATGTTGGCCAGGCTGGTCTCAAACTCCTGACCTCAAGTGATTCACCCAACTCGCCTCCCAAAATGCTGGGATTACAGGCATGTGCCACCATGCCCAGCCCAGAGTTCTTAAATTGAAACATTTTTAATGGATGTGTAGAGATGAGGCCAACTCCTGTCCTTCTCCCTTAACCATAAATGGTTTGGTGAAATTGAGAAGTGAGGGTTTTTCTGTCATGAGAAAATTGCTCCATCTGCAATACAGCAGGAAAGCACTGGTCTAATGGTGAAGGGAATTGGGTTCCAGTCTCTGCATAGTCACTCTCAGTGCCGGTGATGGCCCCCAACACTGCGCCTCAGTCGCCTCATCTGTAAAGAAGGCATAAACACCCTTCCTGCATGTCTCTCAGGGCTGATATGAAGAGGAAAAGAGCTGATGTGCACACATACTCGGTACTCACTATTTGTTCGTTGATTAAATGAAGAGTTCAAGACAGGGGTCTCTTATTAAAGGTGTGGCTGCAGGCCTTCAGAGTTGATCATCCTCCTTGCCGGCAGCCAGATTGGCACGTAGAGTGGACCAAGCTCCGCCATCTCTCTTTCAGGATGACTTTGGTGGTCACTGCAAAAGCAAAGATATGCTAATGACCCTCATCTGATCACTGTACATTATATGTATGACACCATCACTGTATACCCCAGAAATATGTGTCAATTAAAACTTTTTTTTTTGACACAGAGTCTGGTTCTGTCACCCAGGCTGGAGTGCAGTGGTGCCATCTCAGCTCACTGCATGATCCACCTCCCGGGTTCAAGTGATTCTTTTGCCTCAGTCTCCCAAGTAGCTGAGACTACAGGCTACCACCACACCCGGCTAATTTTTGTATTTTTAGTAGAGATGGGGTTTCACCATATTGGCCAGGCTGGAGTTAAACCTTTTTTTAAAACAAAGATAGCCCTGTTCATGGCCTTCCCCAGCTTGCTGGCCATTGGCCTTGAGAAGCCAACAGTTTCTCATATGTTGGAAGAGGAACAGGAACAGCTGCCTATGTTAAGATATCAGGAAGGCCAGCCAGGGAACTGACGGGAGGCTGGGGATTATGAAGGGTCTAATCTCATCCCCTTCATGTAGACATGGGGGACCAAGTGGCTCTGAGAGGGAAAGGATCTGCTCAGTTAGTGACAGAGCCACAACTATGGGTAATCATCACAGATGCCATCACTCAAGACCACACCTCATCCTAAAGCTCCATTCTGAAGCACTTCGTGGAGTAGGTATCTCTTCTCACCATTGCCAAGCTGGGTTTTTGGAAGCTGCCCTAAACCCACCTCAAGCCCAAGAAGGCTTTGGACCCCAAATCCGTACAAACACCTGCAGGAACTCACAGTTGGGAGAGATCTCTTGGAGAGCAAGTTCCACTTGCCCAGTCCCCAGGCCACTCTTTTTTACAGTGGCCTCCAAAGCCTCTGAGCCCAGCTGCCAGCTCCACTCCCAGCTCTGAGGTCCCACCTGGCAGGAGCACACATGCCACCGCTTTACACCAAATCCCCAAAGTGCCCGGCACATTCCAGGCTTCCACTGTCTCCAAGGGACCCTGGGGCCCTGCTAGAGAAGGGTAATGGCAGGAAGCCATAATATATTAAAACAGCAGATTAAAACAAACAAGAGCATTTTGGATCATATTACGCATCACTTTCCTCATGTCTGACAACAGAAAAAAAATCAAAGGCAGTAAAAAACAATCGCAGACCATAATGGTCTAATAAGTTCGTGATAAAAGTGCTTGTGGGAGCAGCATGGGCCTAGGCAGCTCCGGGTGCAGGAATCAAAGCCCTCTTCCAGATCCACAGTGGTGTGCTCAGAGGCATTACTGCTTAAGTGCTCGTTTAAGACTTCCTCCAAAATGCAGCGCACTCGCTGGAGAATCATAATTAGGCCCCAACTGTGGGCCATATTCACACATTGTGCATCATTCTTAAAGATGACAGAAAAAAATTACTCAAGGCTATGTGGAGTAGGTATTAGATCTTTTACTGTTGTTCTCCATGGAAAAACAAACAAACAAACAAACAAACAAAACACTTAATAATCTCCTGTCTAGACTCACAGCTTTTTGAATACTGAGCAATATGACTTAGTTTTGTTTTGAAATGGAAAAAGGAAAGCTGAGAAAACAGAAGACTGTGAACAGTGGAACTCTGGGTTTTGTTTTACAACCTATAGACGTGGTCAAATCCATAAGAAAGCAGCGTGTAAGGGATCTTTCATTCATGAGGCACGGTCCCGACCAAAGTCAGACCAAAATTCCAGAAACATCTCAGAGCACTTTAGGCAGCAGTATATCAGCCCAGATCTGATTAAACATTTGGAACATGTCACCTTTTGAAAACCACTTTCATTTATTTATTTGTTCATTCATTCATTATATTTTATTTATTTTTTGAGACAGGGTCTCACTCTGTTGCCCACCTGGAATGCAGTGGCAGAATCTTGGCTCACTGCAACCTCTGCATCCTGGGCTCAAGTGATCCTCCCCACCTCAGCCTCCCAAGTAGCTGGGACTACAGGTGCAGAACACTGCCCCTGGCGAATTGTTTTTTATACTGTTTATAGAGATGGGGTCTTGCCATGTTGTCCAGACTGTTCTTGAACTCCTGGACTCAAGCAATCTACCTGTTTACTCAGCCTCCCAAAGTGGTGGGATTACAGACATGAGCCACCATACCCGGCTGCCACTTAATAGTCTGTATGCTGAAAAAAATGCCTCAAAAATGTGCAGCTGTTTTCCCATGTCTCCTGCCCATTTCCTCCCCTACCTTCTAAACCCAAGCCCATTTCCAGCCCTACGTTTTGTCTCATGAGCAAGAGCTTTCTAGGAATTGAGAAAGAAATCTGCCCATGACTCACATTCTCCATACCAACCTCGGTGCCCAGCTCACTGCTGCCTTTGCCCCCAGGGAAAAGATTTCTTGGGAGAACTTCATTCAGGTCAGGTCAGCGGACCTAAACCTGAATTCAGGTCATTTTCGTTTTTAATCTGAACATACCTACTGCTGTCATTTTTTCATCTGCTTTTTAAAACTGATCCCCCTCCCCCAAAGTGGCATCTATTTATCGTTTTTGTTGTTGTTTGGAGTTTTTTGTTTTTGTTTTGAAAGGGAGTCTTACTGTGTTGCCCAGGCTGGAGGACAGTGGCGCGATCTCAGCTCACTGCAAACTCCACCTTCCAGATTCAAGCAATTCTCCAATCCCAGCCTCCTGAGTAGCTGGGATTATAGGCGTGCACCATCACAACTGGCTAATTTTTTATGTTTTTGGTTGAGACAGGCTTTTGCCATGTTGCCCAGGCTGGTCTTGAACTCCTGAGCTCCAACTATCCACCCCCTCAGAGTTCCAAAATGCTAGGATTACAGGCGTGAGCCACCATGCCCAACTTATTTATCTCATTCTATTCACATAGATTTATACGTATGATTTATAGATTTATCTACAAATAAATAGTATATTTTCATGACAACTCTGGGTGGTCAGTGACAGATTGTTATTTTCACTTTACAGATTCTAAAATCTGCACTTTAATAAGAGTCTCACAGCTAGTGAAGGAGGTATTACAAGTCAGTAAGAAATGAATGAATTATTTGAATGTGATTTTGAAAAAAAAATTGGCTCTCTTGGTGGTTTAAACATCTAAATTCTTATCTCACATCCTAAAATTTAATAAACTCCTGACATTTTAAAATTATAATACCTGAAAAACATGAAAACCATAAGAAAATATAGATAAGTATTTATTTAATCCCTTCATTGAAATGTTTCTAAGTATAAAATAATGAAGGAAGTCACAAAGAAAAGGACTAACATATTAGATCACACAAAGACTGTGAACATCTACATGCGGAAAAATTTAAAGCAAACGATGAACTGAAAAATATTAGCCACATACGTGACAGCCAAAAAGGTTAATATTCTTACTATGCAAGGTATTCATACAAATCAATAAGAAAAATAGAAAAGGTTATGAATAGATAATTTACAAAAGAGAAAATACAAATGTTTGGCTAATACACATAAGAAAGCTATTCAGCCACAAAAGGAATCCAAAAAATTTTAAAAGTCACCAGAGATCATTTCCTGCTTATCAAATTAGCAAAAAATAGAAATATCAATAGTACCAGATGCTACAAAAGTGAAGTGAGAGAGGAATACAAATTATATGACCCTTCTGGAAGACAGTTTGGGCAATGTGTATCAAGAACCTTGAAAACACTCATGTTTTCTGACTCAGTAATTCCTTTTTAAGGACTTCATCCTAAAAAGTAATTAGAAATGTGGGCTAACATCGATGATAGACTGGACAAGGAAAATGTGGCACATATACACCATGGAATACTATGCAGCCATAAAAAACGATGAGTTCATGTCCTTTGTAGAGACATGGATGAATCTGGAAACATCATTCTCAGCAAACTGACACAAGAACAGAAAATCAAACATCGCATATTCTGACTCATAGGCAGGTGTTGAACAATGAGAACACATGGACACAGGGAGAGGAGCATCATGCACTGGGGTCTGTTGGAGGGGGCTAGGGTATGGACAGTGGGGGATAGGGAGGTTGGGAAGGAATAACATGGGGAGAAATGCCAGATATAGGTGATGGGGGGATGGAGGCAGCAAACCATCTTGCCATGTGTGTACCTATGCAAAAATTCTGCATGATCTGCACATGTACCCCAGAACCTAAAGTACAAAAAAAAAGAGAAAGAAGTGTGGGTTAAACTATTTGTAAAAGATATTCCTTAGAGAGTGAGCTATACCAGCAAAATATGGAAACAATGTTCCCCACCAGGAGAGTGGATGAAATTATAGTGCATCTACATAATGAAATATTGTAAAGACACTAAAATTGAAAAACTATATTAGTGGCAAGGAAAAATACCTATGCAATAGTGTTAAATGACAAATGCTGCCGCAAAATGGTCTGTAGTATCTCAAATATAGAAATGTATGCCCAGGAAAAAGAACTGTAAAGTAGAATCAACTGTGTTTACCAGTGAGTTGAATAATGATACATACCTTAAAAAACATTTTTCTAATTTTTTACAATAACAGGTATTTATTTTATAATCAGGAAAATACAACTGAGAAAACCCTCTTTTTATTTTTTCATACTGACACTCCATTTATATTTTTAATTTCTTTTTATTTTAAAATATTTAACTAACACAGCAGGGCGCAGTGGCTCATGCCTGTAATCTCAGCACTTTGGGAGGCCAAGGCAGGTAGATCACAAGGTCAAGAGTTTCAGACCAGCCTGGCCAATATGGTGAAACCTGTTTCTACTAAAAATTAGCCAGGCGTGGCAGCACATACCCGGAGTCCAGGCTACTCAGGAGGCTGAGGCAGGAGAATCACTTGAACTCAGGAGGCGGAGGTTGCAGTGAGCCAAGATCGCACCACTGCACTCCAGACTGGGCAACAGAGTGAAATTCTGTCTCAGAAAAAAAAAAAAAATTAATGAAGATTGAATATATTCAAGGTGTACGATGTGATGATTTGATATATGTATACATTGTATAATGATAACCACAATCAAATTAATTAATACATCCATTACCATCCATGCTGTCCATCAGATTTCCAGCACTTGGTCATCTTATAACGGAAAGGTTGAGCCCTTTGACCAATATCTTCCTGTTTTCTCCAGCCCCCACCCGCTGGTAACTGCTGCTCCAAGCTCTGCCTCAATGTGTTTAACTTTTTTAGATTCCACATATGTGTGAGATCATACAGTATTTGTCCTTCCATATCTGGCTTATTTCACAATCTGGCACAGTGACCTCTGGTTTCACCCATGTTGCTGCAAACAAGCTTTTGTGTTTTTAATGGAAAAGTCTCAAAAAGGTAAACATCATAATGGAACTCCACATCTGGTCACATGAATCCATAACCACTGTTTTTCCTGCCCTGTGAACTTTCATTTTACAGTAAGGACAAAACATACAACTACAAAGCCCACAGCACTTTAAAATCACTTCTGCATTGGTCAGTATACATAATTGCAATTATATAGTTATTAGTAATCAGTTCTAATTCATGTTTCTGTGTTTAGCTTTGTCTATTTAATATGATTTAATCTTTAAGTGTCCATGTGTCAACATAGTCAAAATGCATATCCCGTTGACAGTGTGGCAATCATTGCTATGTGTTCACCAAACAACGCCCCTTCACCCTGCGCTGATAGCAAGACTACATTTCCCAGCCTCCCTTGTAGTTAGATGAGGCAATGTGACTGGATTCTGACTCCTAGAATGTGGGTAGAAGTAATGTTGCCTCCAGACCTCCGAATCTGGCTCATGAAGCCTCCCTTGCAATCCTCTGTTCTGCCTCTCTTCCCTCATGGATCTATCAGATACAGGGAGGAAATGGTGAAGCCACTAGACACAGAAGCCTAGGGCCCTGCATGATGGCATACAGAAACCCCTCTCCCCTACAGATCCACACTGGGTTGTAATGAGTGTAAGAAATAAACTCTTATCGTGCTAAGCCACCAAGGTTTGTGTTTATTTGTTAAAGTAACCTACCCTTCCCAAAATTGTCCTACCCTAAGCCCAAAGACTTAGCTTCTATCCCATTGTCTTGACAGGTCATAGTGCTTAACCACTTTCCCATCTTGGATATTATCATTGTTTCTAGATAATGCCATGATTATCTTTGAAAAAAATATGGTTTTTCATTTTCTCCTTCTGACTTATGTTTATGGAGTATATTCCCCAAAGTGGTATTACCAACGCATTATCGGGGAATAATGTTCACAGTTGTCATTACACTATTACCAGACTGCTTTCCAGAAACACTGGGTGCTGCACTGGGGGGCAGATACAGGGAGGAAATGGATCTATGTATGGAAACACCAATGCATGGTGTTTCCCACACCCCCAGCAACACTGGGTTTTATCTTTAGCTTTGTTTGCTAATGCTGTGGCACCAACTAGAAAGTGCTTCCAAGGTCATTTACACTTGCAATACTTAGTGAATGTCGCTATACTATAGAGTATGTGGCAGATAATACTTTGATCTAAAACCTCACACTACTTATTCACCCTTTGGCCTGACTTCTGATGTAGGCAGCCGCAGGGACATTCACACGCCCGCATTAGTGAAGTGATGACATTGCAAAATGCAGTAAAAGGAATCAAGCTTTCACTTCTGCGTTACAAAATAGGCTTCTGGAAACTCACAGCAGAGACCATAGTTTTAAGAAGGGAAGAAGCTTTCTGTATTTCAAAGCCTGGCTTTTGAGCATAAGAAGCCTCAGGCCTGAAAGACTCAGGGCATACAGTTTAGGCATAAATAATAGATTTGGAAGAATATGTGATCAGTCAGAGCCAGACAGCCCTGCCCCAGGCTGGATAAAGTTTCTTTGGACTGAGGCAGTGGAGAGGTAGAGAAGGAAGAAGAGGCTTAACTGGTGGGTCCTGAAGGCAGAAGGCTGCGACAGGAGCCACAAGGGACAGATGGAGGCTGCATTCCCTACACTGCTCATGTCCACGCAGTGCAGCAGAGAAGGCTGTGCACAGCCGCCACTTATTCAGGAGGGGTTGCTGCACAGGTGCTGTCCTGAGCGCTATGGATACGGCAATGAATGAAAAAGACCAAATCGTTGCTTCTGTGGAATGATGTTCTAATGGGGGAAATAGACATCAACAAACAAATAAATTTGCAGGCACACCTCGCTGCAGTGCTCCTCACAGATGTGTGTATTTTACAAATTGAAGGTTGGTAGCAACCCTGCGTGGAGCAAGTCTGTTTGGGCCATCTTTCTGATAGCATGCGCTCACTTCATGATTCTGTATCACCTTTTGGTAATTCTTGTCGTATTTTGAACTTTTTCATTATTCTTCTTGTATCTGTTATGATGATCTGCAATCAGCGATCTTTGCTGTTACTACTAAATTGTTTTTGGGTACCACTAACCACACCCATAAAAGATGGCAAACTTAACAGATGAATGTTATATGTTCTAACTATTCAGCCTCCCTATGCCCTGAGACACACAAATATTGAGATTAGGCCAATGAATAGCCCTAGAATGGGTTTTAAGTGTTTAAGTGAAAGGAAAAGTCACACTACTCTCACTGTAAATCAAAAGCTGTGAGTGATTAAACCGTGACGAAGACACATTGAAAGCCAAGACAGGCTGAAAGCTAAGTCTCTTATGCCAGTTAGTCAAGTTGAAAATGCAAAGGAAAGGTTCTTGAAGGAAATTAAATGTGCCACTCCAGTAAACACACAAATGATAAGAAAATGAAACAGCCTTATTATTGATGTAGAGAAAGTTGTAGTTGGTCTGGATAGAAGATCCAACCAGCCACAGCATTCACTTAAGCCAAGCCTAATCCAGAACAAGGTCCTAAGTCTCTTCAATTCTATAAACACTGAGAGGAAAGGAGGAGGAGGAGGAGGAGGAGAAAGGAGGAAGAGGAGGAGGAAGGAGGAAGAGGAGGGAGGAGGAGGAGCAGGAGGAAGAAGAAGAAGAGAAGAAGAAGAGAAAAAGGAAAAAGAAAGAAGGAGGAGGAGGAAGAGGAGGAGGAGAAAAAGAGGAGGAGGAGGAAGAGGAAGAAGAAGAGGAGGAAGAGGAAGAAGAAAAGGAAGAAGAAGAAGAAAGAGAGGAAGAGAAGAAGAGTTGGAAGCTAGCAAAGTTTGGTCCAGGAGGTTTAAGGAAAGGAGCCATTTTCATAGGATAAAAATGTCACCACTTGAGGTAAAGCAGCAAGTGCTGATGGAGAAGCTACAGCAGTTATCCAAAAGATCTAACTAAGGTTATTGATGAAAGTGGCCACAGCAGATTTTCAATGTAGATGAAACACCCTTATATTGAAAGAAGATGCCATCTAGGGCTTTCATATCTAGAGAGGAAAAGTCAATGCCTGGCCTCAAAGCTTCAAAGGACAGGCTGACTCTCTTGTTAGAGTCTAATGCAGCTGATGACTTTAAGTTGAAGCCAATGCTCCTTTTCCATTCTGAAAATCCTATGATCCTTAAGAACAATGCTAAATCTACTCTCCCTGTGCTCTGTAAATGAGACAACAAAGCCTGGCTAATAGCACATCTGCTTATAGCATGGTTTACTGAACATTTTAAGCCCACTGTTGAGACCTACTGCTCAGAAAAAAACAAACAAAAAAACCCTTTCAAAATATTACTATTCATTGACCATGCACCTAAGCACCCAAGAGCTCGGATGGAGATATACAAGAAGATTGATGTTGTTTTCATGCCTGATAACACAAAATCTATCCTGAAGCTTATGGATCAAGGAGTAATTTTGACCTTCAAGTTGTGTTATTTAAGAAATACATTTTATAAGGCTATATAGCTGCCATAGTGATCCCTCTGATGGACCTGGGCAATGTGTGTGACTCACTTGATCATGATATTCACTTTAGTGTGGAGATCTAGAACTAAATCCACAATATCTCTGAGATGTGTGTGTATGTGTCACACATATATATCACACACACATATAGGCACACACACACATGCACATATATACACACACACACATACATACACACACATATATACACACATATATATATATACACACACACATATATATGCGCATGTGTGTGTGTGCCTGTGTGTGTGATATATATGTGTGTGTGTGTGTGTGTCTATATGTATATGATGTCAGTGGTGATAAGCATTCTGAAGATAATTAAACAGGACTGAGAGTGATGGATGGTGGCGTTATTTTAAATAAGATGGTCAGAGAAAGCCTTTCTGGAAACCTGATATTTGAGCAGTTGAAGTTTAAAGGGAGCCCTGAGCATATTTGGGCACAGAGCATTCCAGGAAGTAAGAAGAATGAGTGCAAAGGCCGAGACAGGAGACTGTCTTGGCATTGACAGACCAGTGTGGCTGGAGCAGGTGAGAGAGGGAAAGAGATGGTGGGAGAAAGTCAGAGAGAGAGTAGGGTGGCCAAGGCACAGTGGATGGGCTGTCTGGATAGACGGGATGGAGGCAGCCTTGGTTAACACAGGGTCTCTCTCCTTAGAGGTGTCTAAGTCCCAGAGGGCACTGAGGGGTCAAGGCAATGAGAGTAGGGTGCCCAGGAGGACAGTGTTTGGATGTGGCTGATGGTCCTCGAGGCCTCCACTGCATCCTCCTGGCTACACACCACTAGCCTCTGTGTTCACTTTCAACTCCCTACCTCTGGACTTTTCCTAAGCCACAGCAGACAGTTGGCTTTTCCCATACCTTTGCATGCAGGGTGCTGAGCAAAGTTCAGAGGAGAAGCCGGTCTCTGGACCCTGGCATCCCTTTCCCCTGCTTTACATCTGTGATGGTTAATATTGTCAACTTGATTGGATTGAGAGATGCAAAGTACTCTTCCTGGGTGTGTCTGTGAAGGTGTTGCCAAAAGAGATTTGGCATCAGTGAACTGGGAAAGGCAGACCCACCCTCAATCTGGGTGGGCACCATCTAATCAGCTGCCAGTGCGGCTAGAATAAAGTAGGCAGGAGAAGATGAAAGAGCAGACTGGCTGACTCTTCCAGACTTCATCTTTCTCCTGTGCAGGGTGCTTCCTGCCCTTGAACATCAGACTCCAAGTTCTTCAGATTTTGGACTCTTGGACTTACACCAGTGGTTTGCATGGGCTCTTGGGCCTTTGGCCACAGACTGAAGGCTGCACCATCAGCTTCCCTTCTTTTGAGGTTTGGGGACTCGGACTGATCACCACTGGCTTCCTTACTCCTCACCTTGCTGTCCCTATCATGGAACTTTACCTTGTGATCGTGTGAGTCAATTCTCCTTAATAAGCTCCCTTCATATATACATATATCCTATTAGTTCTGTCCCTCTAGAGACCCCTGGCTAATACAGCATCCTTGCTGCTACTAAGGCCACACCACTGCTGCCTTGGCCCGCCACCAGGTATAGGCACTGGTTTCAAAATCGCCACACCTTCCTTGAGCTCAGGAATTCAGGCTAAAATCAACTGATTACGTGAAGAAGCAACTCGAACATTGAAATATGAATTAAGGCCAGGCATGCTGGCCCATGCTTGTAATCCCAACACTTTGGGAGGTCAAGGCAGGAGGATCAATTGAGGCCAGGAGTATGAGACTAGCCTGGGCAACATAGCAGGACCCTCTCTACACACACACACACACAAATCAGTCAGGTGTGGTAGCACATACCTATAGTCTCAAGTGCTTGGGAGGCTGAGGTGGGAGAACAACTTGAGTCTAGAAAGTTGAGTCCACAGCAAGCCATAGTTGTACCACTGAACTCCAGCCTGGGCAACAGACTAAGATCCTGACTCTATAAAAAAGAAAAGGAAGAAAGGAAGGGAGGGAGGGAGGGAGGGAGGAAGGAAGGAAGGAAGGAAGGAAGGAAGGAAGGAAGGAAGGAAGGAAGGAAGGAAGGAAGGAAGGAAAAGAGAGAAAAAGAAAAGAAAGAGAGAGAGGGAGGGAGGGAGGAAGGGAGGAACAGAGGGAGGGAAGAAGGGATCCTCCATGGAAGTTAGTTGCTAAGTAACATAAATCTCTAACTAGGTGAACAATGGAAGAGGAGTTCTTTCTTTTTAGCAGTTTCTTACCTATCTCTCCACTCTGGCAGGTAAGCATACACACACACACACACACACACACACACACACACACATACACGCACACATGGACACAAACACACCCCTGCATGCTCCAGAAGAACAAGGATTGGGAATCTGGCCCCAGCTATTGACAGATGGCCACTCCTGCTCTAAATGAACTGCCGACCAGGGCCTCCTTTTCATCTCAAAGGCCATTTGGCATAACCTCATTCATCTGCGCAGACTGTCAAATTCTCTCTCCCGGACTTCTCCTGTGACCTTCATTTTATTCTCTGCTCATGCCTGAGTGTGGCGGCTGAACTGGATTGATTAAAGTTTTAGCCCTGTCTTGTTTTAATTCAAGAGCTAAACTGAGCATTTAAATGAACTCGTAGCAGGACTGACTGGCAGGCTTCTGGAATCTGGTTAACATTCCTCCTGAGGCTCTCTCACCCCCTTTATCTCTGCTCTGTGTCCAGGTTTGTTTCTGGGTGAAGTTCACTGTTGGTTAAAAATGACATCATTGGAGCAAGTGAGAGTAGATGAATGTTCACTTCCATCCATCCATCCATCACTGGAGACCCTGGGTTCATTAAGCGTGCACCAGGCATGGTTTCCCTTCACGTCTCATAATTCATCCATGGGTCTAATGAACCAAGATGGAGTTTGTCAGTTTCCCCCAGGTTGACTAGATGGAACAACAATTCTTTGGTGCTCAGAATCTTTCATCCTATAGAGAGAGTCTGTGAGGAGAAGGGAGAGCAAGACCCAGCACAGTGACACAATGTCAGTGCACATCCCTCCATCATTTCTACCTACAAACACAGTGTCCCTCAAGAGCTGGGACACTGAACCCATACCCTTTCTTCTTCCCTGGGCGTCAGTCTGATTGCTATTTTTCAAGAGTCACCTGGCCTCTCCATTTGGTTATCCCACTGTAATTGCCTGTGATTGCTTTTAAGACAGAGGAAGGAGCATGGGAAGACAGGCCTAGGCATCCATCACCCAGGACGAAATCAGGCATATAACTTCATACCATGCCCCCTCTAAATGCTCAAGGGTCTGCTCATCCCTCCATTCAACCACCCACCCACCCACTCATCTGTCCATCCAGCTGTCCATCTGTCTATCCATCCATCCATTCAGATATTTAATTCAGCAAGTATTTATCACTTGCCTTCTTTATTATTGTTATTATTATACTTTAAGTTGTGAGATGCGTGTGCAGGTTTGTTACACAGGTATACATGTGCCGTGGTGGTTTGCTGCACCCATCAACCTGTTGTCTACATTAGGTATTTCTCCTAATGCTATCCCTCCCTTAGTCCCCGATCTCCCAAAATGTCCCAGTATATGATGTTATCCTTTCTGTGTCCATGTGTTCTCATTGTCAACCGTCACTTATGAGTGAAAACATGTGGCATTTGGTTTTCTGTTCTTGTGTTTACTGAGAATGATGGTTTCTAGCTTCATCCATGTCCCTGAAAAGGACATGAACTCATCCTTTTTTATGGCTGCATAGTATTCCATGGTGTATATGTGCCACATTTTCTTTATCCAGTCTATCATTGATGGGCATTTGGGTTGGTTCCAAGTCTTTGCTATTGTGAACAGTGCCGCAATAAACATATGTGTACGTGTTATCACTTGCCTTCTATGTAACAGGTACTTTGCCAGATGCTGAGTTTCATACCCACGAGGTTATTCTTTTTCAGAGATGGTGTATTAGGCTGTTCTTGTATTGCTATTAAAAAAAAAATACTTGAGCCTGGGTAAATAATAAAGAAAAGAGGTTTCATTGGCTTACAGTTCTGCAGACAGTACAGGAATCATGGTGCATAGTGCCTGCTTCTGGTGATGGCCTCAGGAAGCTTCCACTCATGGCAGAAGGTGAAGAGAGAGCAAGTATCACACAGGGCAAGCGCAGGAGCAAGAGAGCGAGTGGGGAGGTACCACATTGTTTTAAACAACCAGATCTCACATGAACTCAGAGCTAGAACTCACTGATCACCAAGGGGGTGGCACTAAACCTTTCATGAAGGACCCACCCTGATGACCCAAACACCTCCACCAGGCCCCACCTCCAACCCTGGAGATTACACTTCAACATAAGATTTGAATATTCAAACAATGTCATATGGTAAGGTCAGCAGATTAGGAGATGACCACCACTGAAAAGACAGTTTGTTACTTATGGTTCCCAAGAGAAGGGGACACACCATGCCACACCATTCAGGGCCACAGAGGGAAGCACCAGTTGGGTCAGGAGGCAGGAGTGAGAGAAAAGCATGGGCGAAGTCTTTTCTACATTTGTGGTTCTCAAGGGAAGGAATGGGCGAGGCAGGGTAAGCCACTGAGCAAGTTTAGGACTGGATAGGTTGAATGACTTCGGCAAGCTCTGGGCTATCAGGGTGGTCCCTAGTTGAACGGTATCTGGCCCAAGGATGACTTTGGGTAGGAGGATGTTATCTAGGGTTTCCTGAGCCTGATGAAAGGAGCCAGTTTGGGGAATGGAGTTGGGATGAGTTGGTTTGTATATCAAAGGCATCTCACAGGCAAGTTGTTTGTTACCTGCAGGAAATAGCCAACCCTGGGAAGGGCAGTCCCTTCCTAGGTCCACAAAGCCCCAAGATATCAAAGCATCCTAAAACATAGAAAACGAAAACATGGTTAATACATGGGGTTTCAGAAAATGATGTCTGCCCTTAAAGACTTCACAGACTTCAAAACAAACAAGAGTTTCATAGCACTTGGCACAAGCTGTGCCAGTCACCTTGGGGGATGTCTGCCCGGCCACAACCTTCCCATTCATGGGAAATACACCCCAGATTTAAAGGGGTGGGCTCCTCCATGGACAGCTTTATAGTTTATGGCCCATCTCCCTGGCGGTGGCTAATTGGACCAAGATGGACACACGGATCCAAGCTCAGCCAATCAGATTTCCTCTCCCTCTAATTTGAGGTTGCAATTCAGAGACCTGTAGACCTGTGCTGGCAGGAACTGGAGCAGGTAAACACGGGAACCAGGAGACAGTCTGACTTCACCATGTATGTGTCTGTCACCTCCAACCCTGGCTGCACATTGGAGTCATTGGGAGTTTTTAAGAAATACTGAGGCCAGGGTCCCCAATCAGACCACTTCAGCAGGAATCTCTGAGGGTGAGGCCCAGGTGTTGAGCTCCTGTCCCAAGGCTGACTCGCTCCTAACCCCCACAAAAGTGAACTGTCCTGGCCCTGCGTCCCCCCTCCAGGAGCACCACCTCTGGCCCTGTCCCATCTTGCTGTGTAGAAGTGACACAGGACTGTGCTGTGATTGGTGTGGATATTCCACACACACATAGACTTATGATGCACAGCAACATGGAGGGGGCATGCTTTAAATTGACACATAACATTCATGTGTTTGCTCGGGGTACATATCTTTTGTTGCATGCATAGAATGTGTAATGATTAAATCAGGATATTTAGAATCTCCATCATGTTGAGCACTTACCATTTCTGTGTTGGGAACATTCCAAGTCTGCTCCTTTAGCTATTTTGAAATATACAATTCATTGTTATTAACTATAGTTACCCTACTCTGCTATTGCGCATTAGAAATTGTTCTTTCTATCTAACTGCACATTTGGACCCTTCATTCCCTCCTCCTCCACATACACACCCTTCCCAGCCTCTGATAACTATAATTCTACTTCCAACCAGAGGGAGCATTTTCTTTTTAAAATAGGGGCCTCACTTTGTCACCCAGGCTGGAGTGCAGTGTCACCTTCTTAGCCTATTGCAGCCTCCAACTCCTGGGGCTAAGCAATGCTCCTGCCTCAGCCTCCTGAGCAGCTAGGACCTCAGACTCAAGCCACCATATCTGGCTAACTTTTTAAAAAATCTTTTTGTAGAGGCAAGGTCCCAATATGTTGCCCAGGCTGGTCTCAAACTCCTGGCCTGAAAGCCATCCTCCAGCCTTGGCCTCTGTATTTGCCCGTTTTCATGCTGCTGATAAAGACATACCCAAGAGTGGGAAGAAAAAGAGATTTAATTGGACTTACAGTTCCACATGGCTGGGGAGGCCTCAGAATCATGGCAGGAGGTGAAAGGTACTTCTTACATGGTGGTGGCAAGAGAAGATGAGGAGGAAGCAAAAGTGGAAACCCCTGATAAACCCATCAGACCTCATGAGACATATTCACTATCATGAGACTAGCAGGGGGAAGACCAGCCCCACGATTCCATTACCTCCCCCTGGGTCCCTTCCACAACACGTGGGAATTCTGGGAGATACAATTCAAGTTGAGATTTGGTGGGGACAGAGCCAAACCATATCAACCTCCCAAAGTGCTGGGATCACAAGTGTGAGCCACTGTGCCTGCCCCAGGAGCATGTTAAATCAATGGTCTCCCACTCAACTTCTAATAAAATGAATGTCCATCAAAAGAAGAGGTACAGTGCACCCAAGAAGTCAACATATCAATTAACCAAGAAATCTTTTTAGAAAGGGAGATGAATAAGAGGCTCCAGGGCTCTTCCTGCCCTGGAGGAGCCTTTAGTCCAGCTGGAGAGGGCTTTAGATGTTGATGTTGGTATGTACAGATATAAATATATGTGCACATGGACAGCTGCTTGATTAACACTAGTAAACCAGGCATGGCACACACTGGCAGAATGGCACTCCATGTGATCAGAAAGGAAAGATTCCTCTGGGCTGGGCTAGTCCAGAAAGACTTTCTGAAGGTGGAGGAATTTAACCTGGTCTTGTGAGGCAAGGTGGGTTTCAAACAGGCCTGTGGGCCAGGGTAACTAGCTTTGTAGGTACTTGAAGGGCGGCCATCCTCCCCACCCAGTGCACAGAACAGGTCCCACCAGAAGGCGTTCTCAGCCACAGCCTCGGGCTCTGCCTCCGTCTTTTCCCACAAAGTGAATATCTTATCACTCAAGCAAACCAGAGAAACTCAGAGGCTTGAACTGATAATGCTGGCCCAAGTTCAAGCATGTGTAAGGACCCAGGTGAGATCCTCTAACCTCTCAGAGAGCAAGTGTCAGGAGACAAGGAGGGGGTGACTGGGCAACTAGGGGAGACAGGAGACCTGGCCTCACCCCTGCACAGATACCACCTTTCAAAGACACAGGTGTATCAAATGCTGGAACCCAGAACCATTCACAGTCAAACTGCCCCTTCTTCAAAATAGCTGCTCTAGGGAGACAGAGATGGAGAAGAGCTTTGCCCTTACTGCTCACTCTTCTCAAGAGCTAAACCTAAATACTAAGAGGCTGGACTAAGAATAAAACCCAGTCATGGCTGGGCATGGTGGCTCACACTTGTATTCATAGCAGTTTGGGAGACCAAGGTAAGGGGTTCACTTGAGACCAGGAGTTCAAGACCAGCCTGGGCAACATAGCGAAACCCTATCTCTGCAAAAAACAAAAATTCAAAAATCAGCCTGGCTTGGCAGTGCACAACTGAAGTCTCAGCTGTTTGGGAGGCTGAGGTGGGAGGATTTCTTGAGCCCAGGAGGTCAAGGTTGCAGTGAATCATGACAGCTCCACTGCACTCCAGCCTGGGCAATAGAGCGAGACCCTGTCTCTAAAAAAACATAAAACAGTCCAGATCTGGTGGCTCATGCCTGTAATCCCAGCACTTTGGGAGGTCAAGGCAAGTGGATCACGAGGTCAGGAATCCAAGACCAGCCTGGCCAATATGGTGAAATCCCCGTCTCCACTAAAAATATAAAAATTAGCCGGGCATAGTGGTGGCATCTGTAATCCCAGCTACTCAAGAGGCTGAGGCAGGACAATCGTTTGAACCCAGGAGGCGGAGGTTATAGAGGGACCAGATCGCACCATTGCACTCCAGCCTGGGCAACAAAGTGAGACTCCGTCTCTAAATAAATAAATCCCAGTTATTCCAAAGAAAATGTCTTTCCTCTATTTCCACATTCACAAATCCCTCCCAGCTGAGAAGGAGCCACCCTGTCGGCCATCTTCCCTCTCAGTCTCTTCTTCTTTCCCTCGGCTGACCCCTTCGTCCTCCCATTCTTCCCCTGGCCACCTCCCCATCTGGACCCCTTATTCCTCAGCTCCAATCTGCTCCCAAGTATTCGGCCTCCACTTCCTGAGCATCCACCTGGCACTGCTAAGCTTTCAAATCCACAGCCTTGGGTGTGAGTTTCAGGTCAGGAGTGTCCCTTTCTCCTGCCCTTTGGGGGAGCTTGGATTTCTACGCATTCACTTCTTTTAAAATATCCCTTCCCTCCACTAGGTTTGGTCATGAGAAAATCATCTGGGGACAGATGTCTGAGTCATCCCGACTTGGGCTCGGTTTCCCCCTCTGTGCAGTGGAGAGTGGACTCTGCCCTCTCTCTAAGGATGTCCCCCCTCCAGAACACCCTGTCCTGAGTGAGTATGAGCTTTTTCTAGGACGGCCGGTTATTTGCAGCTGTAGGCTTTCAGCCACACTCACTTTGCTTCTTTCTGCTGCTGTGAAAGATTTTCCATGCCACTAGGGAGTATAAATGCTCCTCACATGCATTTTTGAAAGACCTTGGAAACCTCTGCATAAATCAGTAGAAGTTCATTTATGGTTTCAGAATATTCTGGCTAATTTATCTGCTGTCACAGATCTGGAGCCTGAGGCTTCACTTTCCAAGCTGGGCCCTGTAGGGCTCCACTGCATTTCCCTTGCATGTTTGTTTTGGCTGGCCCTGAAATTCGAGTTGGCCACAAGGAGACCTTTATCATTATTCCAAAGAGATCTTCCCCTTCCCAAAACACTCTTTGGAGGTTTGCCTCCGAGCCAGTGTTTCTTCCCCTTTTAAAAAACCAGCAGCAAAGATAGAGCTCTTCCTTCCAAGCCGCCAGGTCACGGCTCTCAGATTTCAGCCTTGCCCTGATGTCCTTCCTGTGAGTTTGAGCTCTGCTGTGCCAGCATGGAGGCCCTCCCAATGCC